AGAGAGAGAGAGAGAGAGAGAGAGACCTACTCCTCCCCCCAAGAAGGAAAGAGAAAGACAGAGAGAGAGAGAGAGAGAGAGAGAGAAAGAGAGAAAGAGAGAAAGAGCAATAAAGAGAGAAAGAGATGGCATGGAATCTGAATTCAGACAGAAATCCAATTCTCTTGCACATATGCAGAGAGGAGGGGCAAAGCACAACTCACAAATGCATAAGAGTGATAGCTCATAGATCAGTCTTATACAGGGGATTGGAGACTGTTGACCCAAACATTTTGCTCTGAAAAAAAAACAGAAAAAAAAAGTAAAAACAAGTGCAGTATGGTAACAATTGATCACAGTCACATCCACTCTCACTCACGAGGTTTCCAACCCTTCCCCAAAATCTAAGTCACAATATTGACTTGGATTCTCATGCCATGTCATCTGGTCTTACTCTCAAAAATTTGGAGCGTCCTAGCTCAATTGGTTAGGCATGCAAGTGGCATTCAGGAGGTCGTGGGATCAATCCCCATGGCCGCCTGTGGCAATCTACTCAGCTGGATCCTCCCAGTCGGTATCAGTAAGGTCTTCAGTCAACAGGGGTGTGAGTGTGCGTGTGAGTGGGTTGTGTGTGGTGTGTGGGAGAGTGTTGGCTTTAGACACTACTGTGTTGCTCGATGGGGGTGGGGGAAGATGAAAAGGGAGGCACAGTTACTGCCAAATGCTGGGTCCTTGTGTTAGCCGGGGCCCCACCAGCAGCCCTAACCCTGCACCCTAAACTCTTGGGCAAAGGGCCAAATATGCCGTTACCTCTCTCCACCGAGAGAGGTGACCTCCTTTCACAGAAGGGAGGTAGAAAGCTATGCTTGCAGGGTCCCCTGTATAGCCTTAGGAGTAGTGGTAGGTAGGTAGTAAAAGAAAGATACATGTTCCATTACATGGCAGAACGCCAGTTAAAAAATATGTGAGGTGAGAGAAAAATATATGGCTGTCCTCCGACAAGGAGGACGCAGCTTAAAAAAAATAAAAAAAATAAAAAATAACCGGAACACACTTCAGCAGTCTTCATTGCTGGCCTCATCACCAGAGCTTGTGCTTGAAAAATGTCCACTTGGGGCCTCGCTCCACTACTCTCGACATGCACAAGAGACAAAAATTATGGCGATGTATGGTAATGTATCTTTCCATGTTCTAGCTGGAGACTCACTCTCATTTTCCAAATTTCGCGAGTAGTGGAGTGAAGCCCTTGGTGTGTTGCACAGCTGCTGAGTTCTTGTTATTGTACTCGCAATGACTCTAATCGGCATATAATTGCTGATCTGTGTGTAAACAACCATTTGTTTGCACGAGACTGTCTGGGCTGATCAGGTCGATAGACACTTCAGCAGCAACATTTTCAATCTTGCACAATCCCCTCAAATCTCACATCTCCTCAGCCCGATCCGACAAGAATAACGGTATTCACGAATTGCTACCTTGATCTCCTGTCAGAGCCTACGGAGGGATGCTACGCTTAAGAAGATGGAGGTAGTGAAGCACAAGAGCACTCTCTCTCTCTCTCTCTCTCTCTCTCTCTCTCTCTCTCTCTCTCTCTCTCTCTCTCTCTCTCTCTCTCTCTTGTTTGCATGTGCAAGCACTAGTGCGTGTGTGCCCCTCCCTCCGCAGGGGCTCCCTCACCCATTCCCTTCCCCTCCATAACCTCGCCCCCCTCTCTACCTCCCCCTCCACTCTTCTCCCTCCCTCCCTCTCCATTGAGAGGAAGCTACTCACCAATAAGGTCTTGCAGAAACATATTGCCAATGTGATGAAGGCCCCATGAACTCCTCCCATGCCACATATCCTTCCCCAGCCCCTCATCAGGTGGAGCTGATCGCGAGCTCCTTCTTCCTCACAACCTCCTCTAGGTATGGATGCCTAAGTGCTCGAACTGCCACGGATGGCCGATAACTTCCCTTCTACACCCTACCGCCCGGTCATTATCACTGCATGTGGACTGGAAGTTGCCCCAAGTACAGCAATAATTACCGGACATTCTATTCGGGTGAAGATGGTACTGTTGTTCTACCTCTATGCAGACCTGAGAGAAGATACGTGGTCCCCGTGAAAAGACACATGGCGCCAATGCAGCGGGATAACGTTCAGCGCGGAGAATGGAGCCACCCTCCCTTCCCTTCTGTCCACCTTCTTCCCCCGCCATCCCATCGTCCCTCTCCATTCCAAGAGGGAAAACTCCAGCTCAAACAAGGCATGGAGAGAAGCAAGAGACATCGTGGGAACCAAACTCGTAGTGCAATCAAGAGAGAGAGAGAGCAGAAGTGAGAAAAAAATGAAAGACGTCGGGGAAAGTTTATCAGGCTCTCAAGGAGGAGAAGACACATGGCGCCAATGCAGCGGGATAACGTTCAGCGCAGAGAATGGAGCCACCCTCCCTTCCCTTCTGTCCACCTTCTTCCCCCCCCATCCCATCGTCCCTCGAGATTCCAGGAGGGAAAACTCCAGCTCAGACAGGCATGGAGAGAAGCAAGAGACATTGTGGAAACCGAACTCGTAGTGCAAGTTCATCTGGCTCTCAAGGAGGTTTTTTCTATGACACTGGCTGGGGGGTTGAACAAACACATACACTGATAGGAAGGGATATCCGCCTCCACTTCTTCGATGTCCAGAGTTATTTCGATCTCTGAGCGATGGGGATCGACGCCTAGAGTTATTTTGATCTCGGAGCGACGGGGATTGGTAACAATGCAACAGTTTTTAATTGGCCAATTCTTTACAGAAGCGTCTTCTTCATTGAGATAGAGGTGGCGACAAATATTAGGCTGTTCAGTCGCTGAGTAGCTCAGGTGCTTTAAAAATACAAAAGAGGGTTCCCGGTGATAAGGACAGTCTTGCCAGAACAGAGATCGTTCGTCTGCTGAAACACTACCGTCTTCACCCGAATAGAACACCCGGTCATTATCGCTGCATCTGGACTGAAAGTTGTGCCAAATACAGCTATAATGACCGGGCGTTCTATTCAGGTGAAGAAGGTAGTTAGAATGGTGTGCACTCTATGTATGGGTGACAAGTTCCATTAGAAAGGCCCTTCGGTCTTCTTATAAATGGCATGGGAAATTTCAGAAAATTCAGGCCTCCGTTAAGCTTCTCTCCTGAACCACTCTATGGGTGACAAGTGTGAATAAAAAGGCCTTTGGGTTTTCTTATAAACGGCATAAGAAATTTCTGAAAATGCAGGCCTCCATTAAAAACCTTCTCCCCTCAACCACTCTATGTACGGGTGACAAGTGTCATTAAAAAGGCCTTTGGGTTTTCTTATAAATGGCATGAGAAATTTCTAAAAATTCAGGTCTCCGTTAAGCTTCTCTCATCTCAACGGGGACGATCTTCATCAGGGACGCTTTGGCGACGTAGGGCTGGAGTGGGTTTAAGATAATCTTCTTTTAGACTCCTAGAAAAGCCTCTCTGCTCCATGAGTTCGAACCTTGGGGACGAGGCAATCTGCAAGACGTGTGTTCAAATCACCTTGGTGAGGACGGCAAATGGCATTTGATGATTTCTAGCTTTCCACTGTTTTCATAATGAAAAAAAAAAGGACAAAAAACAGAGAAACTTGAAAACGCCTTACTATGTTTTTTTCCCATTTGGGGAAGCATCACTCCAGTTCCTTTTCACAAATAGCCCATCATCCACCTTTCGCCAAGTTTATCCCCCCACACACCGTGAACACCAATAGCCTGCAAAAGTCGTACAAGTCCTTCGCGAATCGTCACAAAAAATAACATAACATCATTCAACAGCATCAACACCCATGAATCCTCAAGACAACGATGGTAAAGGACTTCGGATTCAAATCTGGTTGACTCTGGTAGAAACTAGACAGGCAGTCGTTATCACTCCTGCCTCAATTTAGGAAAAGAAACGAGACCAAAAAAAAAAAAAAAGACTAACAGGCAGTCTTTATCACTCCTGCCCGGACACGAGACTCTAAATTGACAATAGACAAGGGAAAACAAGTAGGGGAGCTTACCTGACCATAGTTAATCACTCCTGCCCCAGGGCTCATCTCTATGTTCCCATATCGTCGCAACTCGCCTGGACCCCAAACTCCATCGCGACCGGCAATTCTCACGTACATAAAGTCTGTTGACCGTAGACTGAACCCAATGCTGTCCCAATCCAACAGATCAGATTCTTCTTCCATCTGTGGGGCAAGGTGACTGCAAAATACAGCAGGCAGCAAGACAAGGTGGATGGGCGTTTCGTCAGAAAAGCGTGATAAGCCATGAGTAAAGTTCAGTAAACCCAATTGACGAGCGAAGAGATCGGTGAAAAGTTGAAAACCCAATCGAAAGAGTTTTCTTGTTACTTGAATAGCAGAAAACAACTGAATAAAACATCACTGCACTACGAGATAAAAGTGATTGTGATATTGGGCCTCACTCCACTACTCAACATTCTACATGCATTTCAACGCCTTTCAGAATCACGTGCATTCCAAGAGGCCGCCATTTTCAATACATCGGGACGATTATAAGCTCCAGAGACATATACAGTGTTGTACTAGATGACCTGATGCAGCTTCGCCCGCAAAAACAGAAAACTAAAAAGCACAAAAGAAAGAAAAAGCATAAGGAACTGCCCTATTGTTTCACAAAAACAAAAAGCAGAGCCTGAGAGCATACAGAAATCCGCGTGCAAGAAATAGGAGGGAATACCACCGAACTTTTTTTGTTTCTTATCTGCGAGTGTTTTTTTTGGGAAGCCGCTGCCTTTGCAGCATCGTTTTTCTTTGGTGCTGTGCAAGAACTGTGAACTTTTATGAGAAAATCCTGTCCGTAGTCCCGTTGACGTTTTTGCTAAAGATTCCGATTCAGACTTTTTTGTTTTCTATGTTCTCTGAATATGTTTGTGATAAAGCGATCTTGCATGTATGCCTCCTGCTTACTTGCCAAGTCTTGACTCTATGTGCGCAAGTGCATGCGCGTGTGGGTGAGTTCTCTCAGGTTTGCGATCAATCGATCTTGCATGTATCCCTCTTCCCCGGGCCAATCCTCAATGACATGCGCTCGTTGTTGAGTTGGTGGGGTCGGATGATGTCATTGATGATTGGCCCGGGGAAGTTGTTGGAAGGCGCCTCCAACAACACTAGGAGTGCCACTGATGTTAAGAAGCAGGGGTTTTGCATTGTATGAATGATGAAACAATCAGCAGCATTCAATCTGCTTGGCAGTTGCTCTTCGGGTGGGGGACTTATCGGGAGTAGCATTGCCATGAGAGCCATAATGCCTGGCGTGCATCTTGGAACATTTCCAGGAAGGCAAAAGACAAAAAAGAAACGTAGCACGTGTCAGAGTCACATAATGGACAGCTTGGCACAGTCCCCCCCCCTTCTCTCTCTCTCTCTCTCTCTTCTCTCTCTCTCTCTCTCTCTCTCTCTCTCTCTCTCTCTCT